CAGACCATTTTTTCGATGTTATGCAGAAATGACTGGTTTCAAAATGATTCCGTCTGATACGATATTGGAGAAAAAGACGCCCTCCTGTCTCTTCTTTCGATTGGTGAAAACCGCAGGTCTCTAGCTGATTGCGTTCTTGAGTTATTCAAAAAACAGTGGGACGCAATCTATTTTGAAACGGACATTAGTAGAGAAATTCAATACAAATGATAGATTCGATCGAGGATTTATATATATTGAGTTTTTTCAGTAGAGAAAAAATTTTTTTTTATTTTATTTTGTTTTAAAAATCTCTACTTATCCAATTTCTTTGATAATACAATCATAGTTAAGTATTTTGAAAATAATTTTATTTATTCGTTGTTTTTTTCTTATATAAATCCTAAACAATAGGATTATTGGCTGATTAGAAAATTTGAAGATCAGGTAGATAAGAATATATTTTCATTTTCTATATATATATTTACTTAGAGATGACCAAAGGTTCTAATCCTTATCATCAGACAAGGTAATCTATACAGGCACATTGAATGAAATATAGTAAATTATGTTTTCGTAAAACAATACTACGTATATAAGATTTTAACTCGTCATAAACTCTACAAAATCAAATGTGAGAAAAAATATTTTACAAATACTTTCGACTAATATCAATAAGCACAATGTTCAGTAACATATACCATGCTTAGCTATCGGTATCGAATAGTCGCCTATCAATAAATTGACTTGAGTTCCTTTAAAGTTTTATGAAATTCTGGTTTACTATATCTCATTCGCAAAGTAAATATGTTCTATAAATTTGATTGAGATTATGTTAATTTATTCTCTTAAATAAATATATTAAAAAAATAATAAAACTATTTAAATTTGAAATGATTGATTTACTTAATTTAAATTTTAGTGGTGAACAAGCTCGTCTACAATGAATAGCTCAATTAATAAATAGATTACCTGATATAAATCTTTAGGTATTTTTATTGGATGTAGTATATTATATGGTAAAGATCAATCATCATCCCAACAATCGATTTCAAATTCTTCTCAACAAGAATAAACGTCGAAATCATTTAAATGTCAACCTGATCTTATTCCAACTGAATTTCATTCCGTATTTTTTTTTGATTTATTTTAAATAATTTTTCTTTTTTTTTTATAGAAAAGTCAAAGTGTTTCAAATGAAAATTTATTAGATATTCAAAGTACACCAGGATATCCTCAACCGTATGTTATTTATTCTATTCAAATGAAATAAAATAAAATAAAATAAATCTAGATCTCCTGGAACACATCGCAAAAATAAAGCACCTCGTCCACCAACATCATCTTCAATTAATCAACAAACATCAGTTGAACAAGTTAATTATGAAAATATTTCATCTGATTTTAATTTAAATAAGATAAACAAATAAAACAAATGCTTATATCAAGAATCGTCTTCCGAATCTAATCGGATCAAGAAATTATGAAAAAAATTTGCAAGAGGTTCTGTTTCTTTTTATGCTCGCTTTTATTGCCATATATATATAAATAACTGTTCGTTAAATCAGTATATTCTTTGCTTTCTTCGTTCATTGTTTAAATAAATATAAATAATCAACATTGCTCTTTCGATCGTTAATTAAACTTAAAAATAATCATTTTGAAAATAATTAAATAAAATTATATTATTTTAGTAAGAAGTTCATCAAGTTTTAGTCCGAATGATAAAATTCATTGACGTACACCAAGCGAAGGAACACAATTAGATCGTCCTGGAGCACCATCACTTCTTATATCAACTTCACCAACAGTTCAACCACGACAAAAACTTTCCTTTCCATTATTAAAAACAAATAATGAACAAAAATTTTCGACGACAATTGAAGATAAAACAATTGAACATGAATCAACAACAGATTTGTCAACAGATTCAACATCAACGACAAATGATGGTGTTAATGTTGGAAAATCAAATAATAATCGAATATCTTCTTTTAGGAATAGCACATTACCTTCACCTGGGATACAACTGATTTCTAGTCTTTTATCATCCGGTGCTTATTTTATTATTATCAGTGACTTATTTAAACTTATTTCATCAATTATTATCTCTTCTTTTCATTTCATTTCGTTTCGTTTTTTTTCTTCTATTTGATCGATTCTCTTCTATATATATATATAAATCAATACATTTCTACTGTTTATAATCAAATGAAACAAACGATTCACAGTTTTTTTTTAAATTTAAATCATCAATAATAATTGTTCTTTTAATGATAAAATTTGTCATTATTATAAGATATGATCATCATTGAACATGTTTAGACTCAATCAATAATTTAAATATTCTTCTTGTCGAATTGATTCTTTTTCATAGATCAATATTTTAATTGAATATTTCACTTTTTAAACATTTTTCAAGGGGTAAACAGCAGACTTGGAGTAGAAACGTACATCAAAGTAACTTCTAGTTCAAAAGTCTGCCGTGTCTTTCTTGACATTTTTATTTAGAATTTTTTCTTTTAATTATTTATTTTTATCAATATTTCAAGGTTATTTTAAACAAGTTTAATTTTTATTTTCGAAAAGATTGTCTCTTACTTTTACATAAATTAATTTTCTACTGTAAAACATATTTAAAAATCAGTCTTATTCTCACAGAATCAACATGTATTATGATCGAAACTTGAAAAAAGAGAACGAGAATCGATACATCTTCAATAATATTCAGAAGAGATGCAGGAAAACTTATCGTATCCTACTGAAAAGTACCACCACCTGCTCGTACTTCTCGATCTGGATACGGAAAAAATTTTCGTTTTAACTTTTTCATGGTAGTTTTGTTGAATCAAGAATTCATTTATCATTATTATACAAATTGTCTTCATTTTTTGCTTTATAAATACAAATGTTTCCTTGATATTTATTTGAATAATGTAAAAATTTCATCTATATTTATTTTTCAAAACTAAATAATATGCTTATATGAATGAATTTCCACTATTTAGTACAATTGGGATTTTACATCTATGGGCGTAATAACTTTCATTTTTGTTCAATGGCTCAGTTAGTTTTTTCAAATTTTACTTTACTCTAAGTGTCTTATACACAAAACAAATTCCAGTCCATTAGCCTGTACGATCGCTGCTCTAAGAAAGATACATTTTAAAAACAAAATGGTATGCTTTTGCTGATCTGTCGAAAGAAAAAGAAATCTCTTGACTATATTAAAACAAGAAAACAGAGTACAAATAGTTCACTTTTTATAGCATTCAATGCTCTATCAAAATAAGTAATTGGTTTAAATTTTATTCTTTCCTAAAACCTTTGTCTAATGTTCGCATTATTTGACAGACATTTGCATGTTTTTGTGTAGAGCGACACAAACTCGCTTCTATTTCTCTCTGTGGTGGAGCTGGCAGCACGCCAAGTCGAATATGTTCAAATCTTAAATATATTGTATTGATTATTACAAATTTATATGTTCGATTCTTTTTTCATAATAGAATAAAATGAAACAATTTTATTTTATCTTGTAGTAAATCATTTAACAGATTGTAGTAAACTCAATATAATTTTGTTACTATAAATCTGATAGAAAAGAGTCCTATGAATACTTGATGAGCTCAATAGCAACACAATCTTAATGGTGATGACTTTTGGTATCTGTTGAAAGCTCTAATATTGTAGAAATTAAATTGATTTCACTATATTTTACTAGATGATTTAGTAAAAAATAAAATAAAATTTTTCGTTTTATTCTATTATTATATAAGTCTTATGAATATATTTCTACTCTTTTTTTTTCATTTTAATTTACTTATTTATCCCTGTTTAGACACGAAAAACTAGAATCATCTAGTCCATCAGTGATTCTTTTTTTTTCTTACTTTTGATTGAATACGAACAAATTATTTAAATGTAGTAGATCAATTTTTATTCTATGTAGAATATTTTAAATAAAAACTGTTTTTCAATAATGATGACAATGATCATTTCATCAATTATTGAGTTAATGAGAATCAATTGTTTTCTTTTCGATTATCAATCTTTTAATTGGTGGAGAAAAAAAAATAACACTAACGTCATTGACTAAAAGTTCATGTCTCAAACATATATAAGGAATGATTTTCTTGTATGAAATCATTCTATTGAAACAAACATTTCATTATCAAAACATCAAATAAGTAATCTAATGATTTTATTTTTAGGAGGTGCAATGTACATTTATTATAATGAAATTTATATATTCATACGGTACCGTATCATTATTTACAATGTTCCAAATTTGAATGTTAACATTAATTATTAACTTACATAATGTTTTATATATTTCAATTTCAAATCGGGTATGTTGCTATAGTTTTTTTTATATAGAAGGAGAATAGAGAGAGAAGACAGTTACTAACTAAATTTAGTATTTTTTTTGCTTATTGAGATGCGAATAAATATAAATAAATTGTAAAGTTCTAATGGCCAATAGAGCTTTTCAAGTTATTTTTTTGATAAGGTAAACATGTAATCTATTCCGGATGGAATATTTGTTTTCCTTTGTTGTAATAGTAGAGTGAGGTATTAACTTATATCACAACCCGTCAGATGGCTTCGTAATCTGACCCAGGGAGATCTCTTGTGCCTATGTTGGCGAAAGCAGTGGAGTACTCTGGAAGGTTGTCTGTTCGTAGGTCCCTGTCGCCGTTTACGTACGTCACACCTATGATCATGCCCTACCAGTCCGGCGTGGTCCGCTCTGCGTGTACCGATTTCGGGCTTACAGGAGGTCTCCCTGGTCGCGCGCGCGTACGCGAAAATGAGCCGAGAAAATCCAGGAAGAGAGGTGAATAGCAATCAAAATCAATTTATTGAGCAACCGAGAAGAAAAAACAACACAGTTACATCTTCTTTTTGACAGAGTTAATGTTATCTATCATGTCTTTAATATTAGGGTGCGTTAGTGGAAGTGACTTTTGACAGATGGCAAGTGCCTTTTCTAGATATGAAAGTGCTTTTGGGTAATCACCTTGTCCGGAATAAGCCATGCCGATGTTGTTGTACGAAGTAGCCAAATTGGGATGATTCGGAGGCAGAGATTTTTCTTTTATTTTAAGTGATTTGTCGTAAAATTCAAGTGCTTTCGAGTAGTTACCCATGCTGTCATACACTCCACCGATGTTGTTGTAGGAACTAGCCAAATTGGGATGATTCGGAGGCAGAGCTTTTTCGAGTATTTTAAGTGCTTTGTCGTAAAATTCAAGTGCTTTCGAGTAGTTACCCATGCTGTCATACGCTCCACCGATGTTGTTGTAAGAAGTAGCCAAATCGGGATGATTCGGAGGCAGAGATTTTTCTCTTAT